GATTGAGAAGAATCCGGCTTTATCAGAACAGATTTTTAATACAAATGAATCTTTGCTTTTTATAAGGGGGGTGATTTCTAAAATTTGTATTTACTGTGTTTGGTAAATAACAAGGTGGCCAGAGAGATTGCATTAATTATCTCTCTTTTTATCTATTTGAATAAATTTTCTTCAGTTTCTATCTATTACAAAACCTCGACTTTTTGAACTTCAGTTTTGCCTGTCAATAAAGAAAGTTTTGGGAGTCCAGAGAAAGAAGCATGGCTTTGTACCTGAGTGATGAGGAGTGTGTATATAAAGGAGCTAGCCCTTTAACTCATGATTCACATAAAATTGCTATTTGTCCAGGGCTGGTGGAGAAACACCAGGCTTGGTGCTCAATATTTTATACATTTTATCTTGATGAGGATTATTTTTTCCCATCTTGCAGCTGAGAACCTGACAATCAGAGATTCTCAAAGTCACACAGCATGAAAGAATTTATGTGTGGTGGCTGACACACACAAGCATCTAGATAGAGCATATTAGCTAAAATAATTACATTGCTAACAAAATAATTCAAGTATAGATTTGGGAGTTGAATGAAAGTATTTTTAAGATCTTTCTGAAGACTAAATTTCTGTGATATTAGTACATGGTATGGCTCCATGGCATAAAACAAAGAAAAAAGAAAAATCCTTTATACTTAGACACAATAACATTAGCTGCATTAGCACAGGCTTCACATTTCAGCTTCCCTGTGGCGTTCGGTGAGTTTTTTCAGCTGTACTCCCCTCCCATTTCTGATTTTATTTTTTATTGTCTTTTTAAAAAGAGAAAAGTCTAGTTGTCTTGATTATCTCTTATTACTTACAAATAAGAACATGCTTTCATTTACTGAAATTAGATCCCCATTCACTGTGTTGGCACACTCTAGACTGTCTTCTCCAGAGGGTTTAGGGCCTGTTAGATGGCGCACAGTTGGAAATTGGTGGCATTGAGTGGCTGCCAAGGCTGGCAGACCTTTAAGATGGCATCTGGTGACCTTTTGCTGAGCCCCCTGGGTCCTTCATTTGAGATTTTATGTTCTCAGCAGGGGTGTAATTCAAATCAAATGTGAGATCTGGTGAGCTGGAGTTATATGGGAGGTGGGGCCAGCGGGGGATCCCTACCTTGCTTTGGGCAGAGGATGCTACTAGACGCCTATGCAATGTTTCTTTCTAACCCTGAGACTCTGTGCTCTAGTGGAGGGTGACTCTGATGGGCTGGTTTGTGGAAAGAGCCCAGCGAGAGAGGGAATGATTGGACAGTTTTCTCCTCATTTATTTATCATCCAGCAACACAGTAATCCTCACTAATTGCTCTCATTCCTGGATGACACTAAACTCTTCACAGCACCCCCAGAGCAGCAGCTGAGGTCAGAAGTACATATGCAGAAGCTAGCTGTGTCTTGCTTCCACGATAGTATTGATGGCTTTTTTTCCCCCTTCTTTTGAATGGCAAATTTCTATTTCCAGTAATGTAGGTAGATAGTACACAAGCCCAGAAGAAAGACCTGTGAGTTTGTGAACAACATAACAACCAATGCGTGTTGACACATTGTTTGTGCTAACCACAGACACATGCCGTTTCTCAGCTAGAGTCATTTTCATAATTTTGAAAGGGCTATGTATTTTTTTAAATACAGCTTTTACTTGAAACAGATTTAACAGGTTATTTTTGGTTTTACATCTACAGTGGCTGTTTTAAAAGACAGGCAGATACATTTTACATTTCTCCAGCAATTCTGTCCTGACACTGCCCACAAAAGGATTTTGAAGGTGATTAAAGCAAAGATAATCCATTGTCCTTGCTTTTATCCAAAAGAGTTAACTCCCTGCCCCATGACCATTTTTGCCTTCAAATCTTGCACTTCCTACTTTGGTTACTTGCTCCTGTACTTTCAGCTCCTCACATAATCCCAAACCTCCATGGACCTTCCTCTGACTCTACTGGCAATAGGATCGGAGTCTGTGCAATGAAGTAGACAGGTTTAAATCCTGGCTCCCCTACTGAAAAGCCATGTAAATGGAATTAGGCCAATCACATCAAATTTCCTGGTCTTATTTTTTTCATCCTAAAACAAGAATAATAGGGACATCTGACTATAGTGTTGATTTAAGGAATACATAATCTAATGTATATAAATAAGTACAGTGTGGCTGTCATGTTAAATGTTCAGCAGTACTATTATTTTTGTAACCATTGCAAACCACAGTTATTTCTGTCTCTTATGAACTTCAAATAGTACTGAATCCTTGCAATGGCCATTTGGCATTTATTTATGTGCTAACTGGATATGTTTCATATTACCTACATAAATTTTATACCAATCTAATACTTTATAGAAACATAATATACCTATGTTGATATAAAAGTATGCATCATAAGTCTACCACTCACTGAATTTTCACAAATGTGATATACTCGTGCAAGGAATATCCAGATCAAGAAACAAAATAGTACCAGCATCCCAGAAATCCATTAGGCTTTCTTCTGGGCTATACATCTCCCCTCAAAGGTAGCCACTATCCTGACTTCTAGAATCAAGTTTTACCAGTTCTTAGCTTTATTGTTTGCATTCTCTTCGGGCAACCAAATGAAATTTGAATTTCTTAAGGGCAGGGAACATATATGTTTTCTCTCACTGAAGAAACTATTTGTCAAATATACAATCTCCTTCTCATATTCCTATCTTGCATTATTATCATTTGAGTGTGTTTTTCTGGCAAAGCCCCAGTTCTGTGCGAGCCCCACTGTCTGCCTTCTCTGCATGTCCACTAGGACTACTGGGTGAAGTGCTCTTCACTCTCTCAAAATGATTTCACAAAAATCCAGTCTCCAACCTCTACTGGCCGCTCAGTTAGCCCAATCAACATGTCTTATTTTTCTGATTATCTCTCTTCCACTCTTCATAGCAGCTCTCCTGAACCATCTGCCCTTAATTCAGACTTTTTATCCCACCCCAGAGACCCAAGGTAACCATACCTTGTTATCAGAGAGAAAATTCAAGCTGTCAGCAACTTGATCACTCTCTTGTCACCAAATGTATGCATTTGCCTACATCCTCACCTATTTTCCTACAACCGTATCCTGAGGTTTCCTTTCTGCCTCTGTCCTCTCAATGACTCCCATATCCTTTGGTCAAGGTCCATCTTATATCATCAGTGATATCCTCTCCTTTTCTGTAGTTCAACTGGATATTCACCATTGGCATTTCAACAGGTTAAACTCCCTACCATCTTTGCACATGATAGTAACAAAGTCTTATCTGAAACCCTAAATTCCAGATCAATCATCACCCCCTCTTTCTCCCTTCGTGCAGCCAGACTTCTTCAGAGAGGTCTTTATAGTTCCTGTCTACAGTTGCTTATCCCCGCTCTTTCTTCAACCCACTTCAGTCTAGCACCCACATTACCTCATTGAAACTCCCCATACCAAGATTCCTGACTCCATCCTTATGGCTAATCCAACGGACTCCTCAGAATTTTCCTTTCTCAGCAGTATTCAATACTGTTGCCCTCTCTCTGGAAACATCCTCTTGCTTTTCTACGAAGTCTTCCTTCTACTCTCCTGATTTCTACTTCACTGGAAATTTTTTAAACCACTTTTTAAGGCTCTTCTTTCCTCTTTAAATGTGGGTGTCCATCAGAGTTCTTTCCTAGGCCTTCTTTTCTTCTTGTGCTACCACCACCAAGAGGGTGGCTATAAAAATATAAAATATAAAAATATAAAAATACTTGACTTATTCAAATCAACAAGTATTGGAGTTCAATAAGTATTATTTAAATCGATGAATATTATATTCAGATAACATGATATGCTTGTAAATGGATATTTTCCATTGTATCTATAAATAACAGCTAGAATGTATAGACTGCCTTGTAGGTACAAGGCATAACTACTTTGAAACTTATTTTTTCTGATTATAAATAGTATTTTCTTATGTAGAAAATTTAGAATAATAATACTATAAAATATAATACGACGTGATACAGTGTAATACGATGCAATGTAATACCCTGAGTTCTACCACCAAGAGTTACTTACTGTTAACTTCTGGCATGTTGTTTTCCAGATTGAATAGGCACACATATTACACACATGCATTTTACACAGCTGAGACAATCATATTTTCACTTATTTTTATAAGTGGACATATACTTGTGTCATTAAATTATTCATAATTGTTTTAATAACCATACACACCCTATCATGAGCAAAGAATGAAATAGTCAAACAGCTACCTATTATCAACTATTTAAAAGTTTCCACATTTTTGCATTTTTTCCCTTAATACACAGGCTTAAAGATTGTTCTACAATGTCAGAACTTCCGCTTCTTGACCCTTAATATGTTTTGCCAGGTCACCCACTGTAAGAACTATATCTGTCTTCTGTGTTTAAAATGGTACCTTGTTACTGTTTTGACTGGTAAGACTTTATGTTATTAAATAAGGTTGAACCTTTAACTTCACTTGTTATTTGAACTACTTTGAATGGTCCCACAGTTTTTTTTCTTTCTTTTCTCTGTTTAATATTAAACTTAAATGAAAGGCTACCAGGAGAAAAGGACGTGTCAAGGGGAGAGGCACAGAGCAGAAGTGGAGCTGACAAACTGTTTTTACTTTCTTTTCTAAGGCTGAAAATACCTGTTACATTTACAAGTAAGAAATGTGATAACCTTTAGGGTTCAATTTTTATACTGACCATTGCTTACAGTAAGGGCTTGGGAGCAGATGGATAGATTGTGAGTATAAGGAAGAGGGCAAGGAAAAAGGTAAAGACTGAAAAGATAATATTAATAACATGTTCTTGCTATAGTTAATGATACATAGACGAATAACCAATGTTTACTTCCGCATTCCATTGTGCTGAGTTACTGCTGTTTACAACACCAAAGTAACACTTCCGTTCTCATGCCAGCCTAGTGCATGAGGAGTCTGCCTATGAGTAACAAAGTACAAAATTCTTCCTTCATAGCAATGAGAATGAGAACTTCATTACAGAAACTCAGACAATGCACCAGGAACCAATGACTGATAATGCAAGACAGATGAGCAGAGATCCCCCAGCTCCCGTTAACTTCACTGATCAGCAAACCAATGATAATCCAGATGATGTGAAAGAGAACAAGCACACAGAGAACAACCAGAAATCAGAAAACAACCAGAAACTATTAACAGGAGTACATAACAGCAGATTCCTGGATGTAAAAGTGAGTAACAAAAACTAACCAAGTTTATCAACGTAATTTATTAGGAAAATGCAAATAAAAACAGGTTCACACAAAAACACACTATACAAATGTCCATTGATACATTTTGCAGGAGATAGAAATTAGAATCATTTTTTCCATATCAAAATGAATTTCAAGGTCATTTTGTATATTGTATCTTTGCTGTCCAACAATGGAGTTGGTCATGACCACCAATGAAGTTGGGCATAACAACCAATGGAGTTGGTCAACCTATTCTGCCTGTGGTTAGCGCAGTGATACTCAGTAATACAGTGATAAGTGTTACTATACATGCAAAGTTGGGGCGTGTTGGAGGGTAAGAGTCTGTCTGCTTTTACATTATAAAAAAATAATAATTTATTTATAAAATACAATGCAATCACGTCTAATTACAAAAAAAAATTATAGACCCCAAACTCTCTTGATAGAAATATATATCACTGCACTCTGTTAACAATCAACCAAGCAATTCATAACAAACTAACTTGATAATGATGAATCTATATGATTAGTAATTTGTAATTAAAAAGCAAATAAAGCAGCAATTGAAAACTGGATCTAAATCAAGGGAAAACTAATGATTCATTGATAACAAAGTACCATTTCCAAAATTGCTGAAATTGCAATTAAACAGATACATAGAGTAGGAGTTTTGCAACGCTGCCAAGCATTAAGTGGCAGCCAGATATTTTAGTAAAATACTGAATTAGAGTCTGCAGTAAACTCTAACATAACTATTTTTAGTTTGTAATTTTAATAGCCCTTTTCAAATCACTGAGCAACTAGCTAGTCTTTAGTCATATGAGAAATGAATGCCTATGGATTTGTGATCTTGTGCTCATAAGAACCATGCAAAGGATCAAATTTTGGAGTGGTTAGCAGCCTATCTATGGACCTCAGACTATACTCTGTAAGTTCTAGTTGCACACTGAAGACCAGAAATGAAAGTGACTTTCCCAAAACATGAGTGGCACAGATGGAGCTGACACTGAAGCCTCTTAGTCTCCATTTGGCTGAGTCCTTTTATTTAGGCCTTGTTTACAGCAAAAGATAGTGAATCTGCAGACGTGATATAATCCATTATGAATTTCCAAAGACCTTGGAATTTTTTATCCTAATTTTGATTCTGGTATTAATATATTTGTTGTTTTTGCTCCCAAAGAATGACCTTGGTAATATGGTTGTAAAAGACTTTATTATTGACTGATTGCTACCAGGTAAATTTTATCATCTGCTCTTTTAAATCAACCCTGTGAAGCAGATGACATTGTTATTTCTACCACCATGGCATAGATTATAAAACCAACATTCAGAAAGGATAAAGCAACTCATAAGTGTGCAGATAAGATATTTGTCTAGGTTTTCCTTTTCTTCTTTACTTAAATTTTTAATGCTCTTTCTAATTATGAAACATTGCATAATCATGTAGCAATTTTTGAAAAACAGAAGGCAAGTGTAAATAAGAAAAAAAGGATCAGCTAGAGAACATTAATGGTTTTCTTTCCCTTTCTTCCTTTTTCCTCCATTCATAGATATAGAATGAGAATCATTATGTATACTCTTTGTTATCCTACTTGATTCACTTCATATTGAAAATTCTCCCCTTGGCATGAAAAAAAAAATCACCCTACGCATCATCTTTAGTGGTTCTGTGAGAGTTGTACTCAAAACAAACACTTAGATAGATAGCATTTACTATGTGCCAGGAACTATTCTGAACTCTTTACAGATATTAACTAATGTACTATTTCCAAGCACCCAGTGAGATAGAAACTCTTACTATCTTTAATTCATGGTTAAGAGAGCTGAGAAACAGAGAGATCACGTGCCTTGCCAAAGTCATAGAGCTGAGAAATGGCAGACCCACCATTCAAGCCCAGGTTCTAGGTCCCTAGTCACCAAACTGTATACAGTCCTTTCTACAGATATAACACAGTTAACTTAACAAACGCCTTACGGGCACTTAAGCCATTTCTAGTTTTCCTCTTATATATAGAAATCTGTTTCTTGACACTCCTCCTAATACATCAAGCTGCTCATTCCTTCCATGGACTCTGCATTCACCATTACCATACATAGTATGTTCATTAGGTAAGCTGTTCTTGACCTCCATGATCTGGATTATTTGCTAGCTCTGCAGTACAGGGAGAAAATTTGCCCCTCCCCTCCCAGAATTCAACAGGGTTTCTAGTGGGAGGCTCAGCGGGGGCTAACACCCAGCCACCAAACAAGGAAGGCCTTGTGGGAGGTGTGGGGACCGACTAATTGGTTCTGTCTGCCGGGCGGGCATGTGGTGCTGGCCTGCCAGATGGCAGTCACAGTTGCCTGGTACAGAGACCTTCATTACCAGCTTGACTAAGTGGTAAATGGAATCCTGCCGCAGTTGCAAAAGCACACCAATCAGAACTCCTTCTACATCCTTATCAGTCACATATAGATGAAAATAAGCTTTCCTGCCTGGGACGTAACAGGCAATCTGGACCAGCTGAATTTGCTCCAAAAGAGAAGTTGCTGATAAAGATTGAGCTAACATGCGTGAGGACGAGCAAGTGTGAAACTCTTTTCCAAATCACAGAGTAAGTTCGAAGAGTCTCACTGGTAGGAAGTAAGTAAAACTGAAGATGTTAAGAGAATCCCTCGTTTTGTGTATTTAAGAGTAGCGAGATATCTTAGAAACAAACAAGTACAAACCTTCCTTTCACAAAGGAAGAATGAGAGGACCAGGGAGCTGAAATGCTCCAAGGTCTCACAAGAAAAGAACTTGGCTATTCTGACTGCTAGCCCTAGGATCTTTCTGTGCCTCCAAATTCTGCTTTTATGGGTATTTTTTTGAAAAAAATATGTATTGTTTATATCATTTCTCAGAAGTATCAGCTCTGCTTTCTCTCAGAAGAATAAAAAAGAATGTATGACTAGCAACAAACTCAGTAGCAAAGTTTCAAAAATAAAATTGGAGTATGCTTTTGCAACTAGCAGCATGAAAATGAAAGTGTTTGTGCTTCAATTTTAATAATTGTCACAGTTGATTGGGAAGGTGTTCTTTTCCAAGCCCTTTTGTGTGTTTTCCTTTGTTCATTCTCCACAATAGTCCTGCAAGGTAGGTAAAGGCAGATTATACTATTTTTTTTTTTTTACAGATGAATAGACAGATGTCAAGGACATTTCTACTTGGCTGTGCATTTGTAGCTCAGATTCAGCAAGCTCAAAATAGAGCCTTTGATCTTGGACTTCTGGTGGTCTGTGTCTTACAGAATGGTCTCACCCCTCTCTCAATTGCATCAGCAAGATACCTGAACATACCTCCTCTCTGTCCTTAACCCTGATATCCAACCAATCACAGAGTTCTTTAAATTCTACCTTCTTCATGTCTCTCAAATCTTCTCTTTCTTTTGTTTCCGCTGTCATAACCATAATCAGACCACCATTTTGTCTCACTAGGGAGATTTTAATTATCTTCAAACTGACTTTTCTCTCTTTAAATGTCCTCTGTATTGGTCAGCTATTGTGATAAATACTGCTGTGTAACAAATCACCTCACTACTCAGTGGTTTATAACAATAATCATTTAAGCTCACATCTGCAGATGTGAGCTGAAGCAGCTTTTATTTATCTAAGTTGGTTTTGGCTGGGTTTGGCTCTAAACTGTGGATTTGATTCAGCTCTGCTTTGTGTTTTCTTGTTCTGAATCCAGTGAGCTCCTCAAGGCATGTCTTTCTCATAATGATGGAAACGTCGTAAGAGAAAAAACTCAATCACACAAGTACATTTTAAGTCTTTGCTTTTTACTTGTGTCAAATCCACTAACATCTCATTAGCCAAAGTAAACCACATGGCCAAGCACAACATGCATGGGGCAGGGATATATATGCTATCTTTTTTAGGAGGAACTACTTGATCAAATATAGACTCTGCTTAAAACACTTAAATGCCATCATTAAATCCCCAGTGCCCTGGTATAAAGTTCCAATTCCTTGACTTAGCATTCTAGCTCAACTTTGTCTATTCTCTATTTCACTTTCATCCCCATATCTCACTAAACTGAAATTATATTCCATAGAGTTCTGTTCTTTTTCACCTCAAATCCTTTGCCTATGCTATTCTTTTTAGGTAAAATTCTCTCCCCTCCATCCTTATTTGATTAACTCATAATTATATAAGTGTCTGAACTACATAGCAGCTCTATCAAGAAGCATTACTGTCTGATTTCCAAGACTGAGGTAAATGCCTTTCCTAATGTATTTCCAAGCCAATCTGTGCATACTTCTATGGTGAATGTTGTCATACTATTAAAATAAACTGTTTCCTTCTCTGTCTCCTTCCACAAATCTGTAAGACCACTGAGAATAAGAATTGTTCCCTGTTCATTCTTGTTTCCAAATGCTTTTCTCTGTATATTGGTTCAAAGTCAACATCTAATTTAATGGGAAAACACTAGAGACTTTCTCATTTCAGTTTGAAAGAATTCAAGAGTGCCCTCTGTCTCCACTGGCTTTTAATATTATGCTGGAGGTATTTGCCAATGCAATTAAACAAGAGAAAGAAATTATAGGCATATTACTTATAAAGTAGAGGTAAAACTATTTTCAGAGTTTAAGATTGTATTTCTAAAATCTCAAGATGGTTAATGAAAATACTACTACAACAATTAAGAGAATTTGGCAAACCAGAAAGTTATCAATAACACAAATCATTAGCCTTCGTATATGGGAACAAAAATGAATCAGAAGATAAAATGGAAGAAAAGGCACGATTTACAATAGCAAATAAGTGTAGAAGTAAATTGACTAAATAAATCAAATCCCCAGGCATAAACTTAACAAGAAATGTCCAGCCTTTATGAGAATGAAACATAAAGCACTCCTGAAAGACACAAGAGTAGATTTGAACAAATGAAAAGCACGCTGTTTTCTCATACATAAAATGTTAACATAATCAAAATGTCAATCCTCCCTGAGGTAATTTATAAATTTGGTGGGATT